CCCGCCTGATGGTGAAGAAAAAGGCGTGACCCCCCGGTGATTCACGCCATTTGTGTTTCTAATATCAATTTATAAAAGCGTAATTTAACGAAGACGTTTCTCGATGTTACGTGGCGTTTATGGATTAACTTTTGCTCCTGTGTATTTATTACTGCGAATGACCGTAGATACGTAAGATACAATAACATGTTCTTTCACGAAGAAGTAGACCGCAACGACTATGAAACATTGGTGCAAAATATAACGTGCACATCGATTGCTCCCATAAAGTCAATAACATCTTTTTCTATTTCTGCAATAAATCGACTGTACGAATACTTTTATCTCTCACCACGGTATATATTTCTTACAGAACTGAATAAAATGCTTCTTAGAATTGCATAACATTGACAAGTCTCAAGTGCTTATGCTTAATACCATCTAAGATTCCGTAGGACATAAATTGTCCTCGTAGAAAATTGCCACATTTCATAAGCGTATTAAACTTGTTACATAATAACATGCTAAATCAGAATTAGCAGTGTCAACGTCTCTTCCAAAGTTTGTAGATGCTTTGTATTATATTAATTATATATTTTTGTACGTTGCATTATTAGATATAACACATACATTGATATACATTTTAATATTTTCTAATTAATATACAGATATTTAGATGTTACCTTAACTCGTTAAAGATCGAGTAATGAAATAACGCATAAAAGTTACGTAAACGCAGCGTAAAATACTTTGCGTGGAAGCTCGCTACATAAATCAGATAATACGCGAAGAGAATTTCTATGATCTGGAAAAAAGGAAAAATAATTTATTATGCTGCTGTAGATGTTCGAGCAGCTCCGAATTTTACAGAATGAATCTTTAAGAATGAGTCAATGGAATGAAAAAATCTGGACAGGAAAAGAAACAGCGACGAGAAAGATATCGGAAGAGAGGAATATTTGGAATTCCTTTTTTGCAACAGTAAAACGGAATTAGAAAAGTAAGATTCCTCTAACGTAGATTGGCTAGATGATAAGCGAAGTGTATGTTGTTTAGCGTTTGAAAGAAATCAAATTCAATGATATAAATTGGTTGAAAAAAAAAATGATAAATGAAATGTTGCGTTAATGCAACATCAATTAAATAAAACGTATTGTTTGGTATCTTAATCGTATAAAAATTTCTCTGCATAAACAGAGCTAAAAAAGGTCGATAGATAATAAAATTCTTGGAAATCGTAATCGCGTGATAATTTATGCAATTTTAAGCTAGACACGAAGGATCATAAGAGCGCAGTTACGAAATAACGTCCAAGACTTACAAAGTATAGGAATGCACCCTTCCATCCATATAAATTGATTAGTATGCGCAATGCAGTTGAAAACTATTCTCGCGCCGGAAGGAAAATAACATAACGAACATAAAACGTGATTCAGAGAAAAATGGCAATGCATTTTCGTGTTGTGTTTGCGGAGGAACTGTTTAAAATGTTGCACGGTTTTACAATATATTCTCTATATAGTCAATATTTATTTACTCTATATTTACTCTATATTTACAATATAGTCTATCTCATTATTATAGTGGCATATTCTTCTGATTGTAAAATTAATATCAAAACGAATTGTAACTAATAATAATTGGATAGAGAGGGCATGGGAAATATAAGGAAGCAACGTGACAAATAAACATTGTTATGAAATATATTGTTACGTAATATCAGTTAAAATTTCGTACGACATCACTTTTGGGATGTGAAGCGAAAAGTTTAAAGTTGACTGAAAATTTCTGCACACAACTGTATCTTAATAGCTTATTAAAGAAAAATTTACAGAATGCGCGAAATATGAAAAAATGCATCAGATATACAAAGCAAAGCACACGTTGCAATATTTAGTAGGTGAGACAAATTTTTGTTTAGGTTTCATTTTTTTAATCAGCTTGATAAAACTATTGAATTTGCATAAAAACCCGCATTCTATTTAATAACGTCATTGTACTTCTAAAGATTATACGAAATTACAAATATCTAAACAATTTTTCGACATTGAAAAGTCATTTATTAGGTGTAAATACATCGTGAAAAAAAAAGAAAAAATAAATAATATAGGTTGTCTCAGTTAAATGGAATCACCTAGATGTCTGTCTTATTTACGATTGTATGAAAAAGCTTCTCGGGCTAAGTTAGATTAACAGAAAATAAAATAAATAAAACCAAATTAAACTGTTTCAAAAAGCACGTGTAATGGGTTAAAATAATTTTTTCTCGAGGTCATTTCTCCACGAGATCTCAAGCGTAGCGGTATATTTTTATATACATCTCTATATATTTTTTTTACAGCGGCGGATGTGATTTTTTATTCTCTATACAAAAGTATTAAAGGTTCTCGTGTCTGAAAATGCTTACTTCGAAAGATATAGTAACTTGAATTTTGTAAAGTTCGGCGTATGAGAGAGAAGAAAAGGCGCGAACACTCTTCTGTTTATGTTTTCCTGGTCTTTCATACAGTACATTTTAACGGAATTAAAATCGAAATATCTTTTAAACTGTGCATTTCCCGACATACCTTTTTCGATACTTTTGTACAGAGAATGAAAAATCATGTCAACTGGTGTAAAAAAGTACATGGTATGTATATAAGAAAGTAAAAAAAATATATATATATATTAAAATCTCGTAAAGAAGTAAACTAGAGAAAAAAATTCTTTCCACCGTTATATATGCCCCTTGAGGTAGCTTAACTTTGTCCTGAGAAGTTTTTTTATGCAGTCGTAAATATATAGACGATCTCATTTAGCTGAGATATCCTGTATATAAAATAAATATACAGGCTGTTACAGAATTGGCGGTACAAGCCGCAAAAAGCGAATTTACACGAAGAAACAAATCGAAAGTGTAGAGTGATATTTTTTGTCCGAGATTTTATTCTCGAGAAAATCGAGTTTGAACATTTATTTTGTTTTATTCCATTTGTTGTATGTGTGTGTGATAAGAAAACTCATTAGCAATACAAAAGAGGAAAGATGCACGAGTAAGTGAGTAATCAATTAATAATTATAGTTATTATGTACTTAATAGCTAGGATCGGTTCTGGCTAATGTGCGATTAAGAAAAAATAGCTAAGTATTTTTAAATAGAACATAGTGTCAAGAATTGCCAACTACCAGAATAAGAACAAAAACAAGGAGACAGACAAGATCTGTAGCGATATAGGAGATCGTTGGAATTTAAGTAAGCGAGATGGTTGCAGAATAAAGATCAGTGGATGTATAATATATGCACTATTGGCATGTAGTATCATAAGGTTGAGGCGGCTAAAATAACCGTACAATGTACGACGACGTTCAACTCGCAATAGCTCAGGATGACGTAAGTTTTTCGATGGAACATTAAGTTTAAATTTCTCTATAATGTCAGGACAGGTCATTAGGCCATATGCTTTATGTACAAATGAAACATTATATACTTTTCTCCTGTAGTTCAAAGTAGTAAGACTAGTGCTGGCTAGCATATGAACGCAAACGCGTCAGGTTTGTCACTTGATAATTAATTAATTAATTAATTATCGACTGGATATAAATAAATAATCGGTAGGAGGTTGTTTTAAATGCGAAAATAAGTGAGAAACATACAACGAAATTGTATCCTATAAGGCTTCATTTTCAAGAAAATAGGGATATTAATATGCTTAGTTAAGAACTGGTCTATGATTTAGTACACGTCTATGATCTTTATATTTTTCTCGGGAACAAAGAGTCTCATGAGGAAAATTTATTCTACAGTTTCGACTTAATTTCGCATCTAAAATGTCCTGCTATTGATTATTTATTTCCGTCTAGTCCGGTATTAGCCACATTCAAGTATACTTGATTTTCAAACTCGATTTTTTCGAAAATGAAGCTCCATACGAAACAGTGTCACCGCACGTTTTCGACTTATTTTTTAATATAGATTTTCCATCCTTTCAGCTTGTACCAACAGTTCGGTGACACCATGTCCAATGTAAAGTAAATATAAATAATATAAATAAATATAAATAATATATATGCATAATAAATATAAGTAAATAAATAACGTAAAGCAAAACTCACCTGATGGAGTTTTGTCGCCTGCGGACATTTTGGAGAACGCCAAAAGCGCGTCAGGGAAATTTGGTGGTGTGGCCGGGGTGTTGCATGGCGTTATCTACAAAAGAAACGTATTTTTGTAATGATTACGTGTTTCGATAACGCCATCGATACAGCCGTCTTATATTACGGTAGCTGCATGTGTTTGTTTACGTTCCTGGAACGTTGCGTGCATGATTATTTAGGTCGAGACTAGGGCGCATGTCTGCGTGGTCATAAACATAGATTCTTCATTTAAAGATCGATACCTACAATCAACCTCTTTCGCGTGTTTCGCTACAAGGCCTAAGAGGATACAGGTTTTACATGCCGATTAGGGATAGCGTTCTACATACTCTCGCATTCTACTACGTAAGAGTTGAATATCAATTTATAAACTATTACGACAGATGTTTCTGGTTGTCTCTCCTTTCGATTGAGGATGTTTTATTCCATCTTCTTTATGTTTCGAAGTAAACATTTTATTCGCGTTATACACGTTGATATATTTTTTGGAAGAATTCATGAAGCTTATTTACATTCTTTAGGAAATGTTTACGTATAACGTACAAATCAAATTCTTTTACTGGTTACGTAATTATTTACTTTGCACACAAGATACAAAGATTTTATGTTTTTGCTTGAACAAATTAATTCTTGTTATAGGTTGGACCGTTTATTGTGAATATTGTGGATATTCGTTGCTAACCTCAATTGTATAATACACACATATATTCATATTTTTTCTAGAAAAATTCATGAAGTTTATTTACGCTCTTTAAAGAACATTTATAGCAAATAGAAATTATTGTTCGTTAATTATTTGCTTTCGATACGAGATACAAAAATATTATTACGTTTTTTACGCAAATCAATTGATTATATATCGTTATATTTTAAATGGTTTATTAATGGTTTTTTTAAACATGTAATAAGTATTAAATATGGTCGAATCGGTATTTTAAGATTTATTAATATAACGGACGATCTACTGTGCGAAATATATAAGGTGTCCTGTAGCATTTGGGAACAAAAAAAAAGAAGACAAAAATAGCAAAGAGAAGTTTACAGAATTCAAATACAAGGAATTCAACGTCAAATATTGAGTTCTCTCGGTAAATAGATAGGTGAAATTAGTTCAACCACTTCTATCTCTCGATAGAGAATTATTTCGACATAAAATTGGCTAATAATTGGCAAACAAGGTTAAACATGGTCATACGTCCGTATGAATTATTTTTCATTGTTTTCACGTGCAGAATCCACTCTGTATGCTTGTGTATAAATAATATAAATATCTGGTAATTTCAATCAATTTGAACGGAAAGTTCGTTTCGTTTTTACGGTCAAATCGAAGGACGTGCCTTCCCCTTTACGTGTATCGTTTTCAATCGATGTATGCGCCATTCCTTTCGATGACTTTTCGCCACCTTCGCGGTAGCTTCGTTATTCCATCGGCGTAGAATTGCTTGGTCTTCCGAGAAAAAGAAACGTTCCACTCCGTTTTTCCAGTCTTTCAAAGAAGACAAGTTCTCATTGTTGAGGTGGTTTCGCAACGAGCGGAATAAGTGATAGCCTAAGCGTGTAAGATCGGAAGAATATGGTAGATGGGGCACAACTAGCTGTTGGTCCAAGATGCACCAACTTTTATTGTATGACGATTGACACGTGTGGCATTGCATTGCGTTAGTGAGCTATGTATGAACTTGTGCCAGGTCAACAAGAAACAAGTACTTCCAAAAATGTTTGTTTTACACTCTGACCGGTTGTTGTCTGTTAATTAATCAACGATACCAGGTTGGATCAATTAAATCGTGGCTAATAGTTGTTGTTTAAACTTCGATCCATCTTGCTACGAAAAAAGGAATGAACTTTCTGTTCAACCCAATTTAAACTGGGGAGATGTAATACACAATACGGGTATATTCATCGAAAAAGTATATCTGCCTATGCTATAAAGATAGAATAACTATATCTAAGATAAGAAAATTTATACTAAGGAAACCAATTCACTGTGCCAAAAAGTAGACTATTATTGTAATAGACATGAAGTCTTATACGTAATAAATATTATTATTATTATTATTATTATTATTATTATTATTATTATTATTATTATTATTATTATTATTATTATTATATACAGTAAAGCTTGCCTTGTCCGATCTAAGAGGGAAGGGAAACTGCTGGAATAATAGAACAATCACTTTTCCCATGCGAAATCTCATTGATTCGAATACAGATCAAGATCAATTGACAGACTCTTGAAATATTTATGGGTCCTGTATCCCCGCGGCTGCAAAGTTACATGATTCTTTTGACGTAGATGAACTGGGTAGAGTTACATTCACTTTGTACTTCGAACCATCGAAGCACTTTTTTGGATGCCACGAATGCTTTGACATGAGAGGGCACCTCTTCGTCACCACTTTCGTTTGCTGTCTCCTGCGTTCGCATAAAATCATCATTATTGTCGCGTTTATCGCGATGAAACCGTTTCGTCGTGTCGCTATATTTAAGGTTTTTCTACAGTTGCCAGTGTCCGGGAAATCTACGCGCCCTAAATAATTTTCAATATCGTGCTTCTATTTTTCAACATCACGCGTTTCTGTTAATTCCGTCGCACTAACGCTAGTTTCCAGTTTTCTAATGACGTCGTCGTATTTCCTCTCGATATTTGAATAGAACGCTATTAATTTCATTCTAAATTCTCACAATTCGAATTCGCTCGTTCGAATGAAGGAAAAAGTACGCTCTATGCATGAACATTCGCAAAGATATGTACATATCCGACACGGAAAAAGACATCCATTACTGGGAAATGTTACGTTCGAATAATAGAGCGTTCGGATATCAGGGTATTTGGATATTAGGATATTCGGCTATTTTCAAGGAATACTTTCGTGAGCCTGTCTATAAAATACACGCGATGTCTTATAGCTATGGAACCGTATTTTCTATTTCATTCGTCAAATTTGCTTGGGTAACGTAACTATTTGCTGGCAAGGAAAGGTTTTATTATGGAGAAGTTACGCTTGTTTCCTATTTGTATTTTGGAAATACGGAACAAGATGTCGGTTTCTCCTATAAAGCTAAAAATATCGAACGAACGTTTTACGTAAGCCGCAACGAAGCGGTACATGCGTCTATGGTAGGCGGTTGAAAAGAGAACGACAAAAGTAGCTTTCTGCGAGTGAGAACTCGTCGGTTGTTAAGGTCATCGAACCTTCGGCTCCTGAATGTGATGTCGGTGTACCAGGTGGACAGAACGCAACAATATGAGATGCACACGTGTTCCTACACTGTTCACTGACTGATTACATAAATAAATAGGAAGATGCGTGACAAGATTGTCAATAATTCTCCAACGTCTTCCTTTTTTTCTTTGCTTAGGTTTTAGCTTTGCTCGAGCAATTAGCATATATTGAAACAGATAACGTAATAACGAGTGGCAAACGAAAATAATAACGAATATTTGAAAAATATTATAAACACATATCGATGTATATGGCAAACTACATAACATGTGTATCATAAATCGCATAATTTTATTCAACCAGCTCCAATGTCAATTCTCTGATGTTGTATGATATTTGAATATTTCAATTGATTGGAATAATCAAGTACAACGAGTTGGAACAAGTTATAAGGAAAACCTAAATGATATCATAACCACCGATAAAAAAAGCGAATGGTCAAATTTTAGCTTAAATTAGATAAACTGCTAAAATATTTTCAAAACACATGCTCCTATGTTTATATATTTACGTAACGATATAATTTGTCCTCGACAATACGTATAGCAATACTTAAGTAATATACATTTTATTAACACTCTATTTAACGCACGATGATGATTGAGGAATTTCTCCACTCCTTCTTTTCTTTCTTCTCTTCGATACTATTGGATGTAAGGATATTAAAATAAGACAACAAAAATGCTACTAATTAATTTCTCGAACGTGTGCAGCCGATAACGACGCAATTTATAATTGACTGCCACGATCTCATAATGAACAACATACACCACAGCTTAAAAGTATTGTTTATTTTTGTCTGGACATATTTCAATTACAAAACTACAGTCAAATCAAGTTGCGATGATTATGTTCTCCGTAACCATCACACTTACGAATAATAATATATTACAAATCGATTGAATTAATTTGTAATATATTATGAATTGATTTTCGAAAGTCAATATCACATAAGAAATTGGCGTTTGTAATTGTCATACCCTAGAGAACTATCTTATTAGTCGACAAGCTTTTTATCTTCAAATTATTTAATTTTTAATCACGAGATTAGGGAGAATCTTCTAAGCTAGTAGAAAAACTTTCGTTGTTGATACGAACAGTGACATTTGAATAGAAAATGTACAGTGTATCAGAAAGGTATTCGTACATTTACTATGAAAAATTTTCATGCGCATATTGTATGTGTTATATAAAATTTTAATATTTGATCAGCGTTATAACGAGATGCAGCTGTCAATATCATACTGACTTTGAATTTAATCTGAAAATTAAATTAACTTCTATATGTGCATATAGAAGTTGCAACATATTAACTGCGATCTTATATTTAAAAAAGAATTAGTATACAGTATGAACAGTCACTTTAAAACATATAATAAGTGTTAAAGATGGTTTCACTAAATACTGAGACTTATTGATATTGCACATGATTGTCTGTTTAAATATTTTTGTGATCTTTGCAATATATATATACTTTAAAAAAAATACTTTTATACTATACTTAAATATATAATTATTAACTATGTTGCAATTTCTATATATATTTTCAAAATTATTTAAAATTTTACCAATGTAATAGTGATAATTGGATGTCATTACAGTGCTAATTAAATTTCCAAATGTTTCTAATAACACACGTAATATGATCATAAAAGATGTCGACAAAGCGTAGGAATACTTTCGCGAGCCACTGACTGTCAATTGACACGATTAATCTATTGCGTCGATGATTGTTCTGGACATACGTATGACAAATATTTCCAAGTAGAATCATATATATCTTTTTAATTCGTTAATCGAGTAACGTATGATAACGTTTTTC